TGAATTGCCTACTCAGTCCAAAGTAGCACTTGTTGGCAAGGGTGATTATGCGTTGGATTTCTATGCTGACATTATTATCGGTGTTAATGAGGGTTCCAAGTAAATTAAATTTTCTACTTTCTCGAAATTATAACTGTCAACAGTGACGTGGGTGCCAAAGCGCGAATATGCTGCCTGTTTGTTTGAATATTGGAGGTACTTCGTCTTGTTCTCGTTTACCACCAGACCCATTCGCTTAGCTTTCTTATCCTACTTGGTTTTTGTAACTGATGATGTCGAAGTCATCGGTATACGCCAGAAACTGCACGCTCTTAAAAAATATTGTTCCTGAGCGGTTCATTTCAGCAGCTATTATTATCTTCACCAACATCAGATTAAAAAAGTCGCATGAAAGGGAGTCACCCAGTCTGAAACCCCGTTTCGTGGCGAAAGGCTCGGAGTGGTCTTTCCCAATTCTGACGGGAGCTAGTGGTATTGCTCAAAATTCCGACGCACAGTGTTGCGAAACCGGAATTTTTTGGAAATCATATTGCCTAAACTGTAATTTTAATTGTATCGATGAGAAACTTCTACAGATTGGTCAGAATGAAATCCCAAACAGAATGAGTGAAAAAAAAATTTACACCGAAAAAAATTGTTGGGTCAAATTTTCAAAAAAAAGTTAAAAAAAAAAAATAATTGTTCGAAAAATTTACAAAAAAAATTTATTTTAATTGTTCTTTTATTTCTGATAAATACTCTATGATTAGTTTTTTAAATAAACTATAGGGTGGTCCGAACAAGAATTATAAACGTCAAATTTTCATGATTTTTCGATATTTTTTGAAAAACTCTGAAATTTTATATAAAACCAAAATCTATTTCATTTCTTATTTGAAAGGTGGCAATAAAAGCTTTAATTTGATACCGGTTTGAAGTCAATAGCTTCAGTTTTAAGAGAGTTATGCTCATTTTTGTGGAGTGCTAGAATAGATGTAGAAAAAAAAAAAACACAAAATAAAAACAATACAAATAAGCGCGCAATAACGGATTATTTCACCCACCTACCTAGACGTAAAAACAAAGGGGGAGAGAGAGAGAGCGAAAGAGAGAGAATAAAATTGTAAAACAACAGAGAGAGAGAAAGGTACCACCACAAGCTAAAAGAAAACACTATATAAAGGCGGACACACATGCGGACTAATTAGTGACAAAAAAGAAAACACTGAAGATGGCGATTAGCCGAAACCGGTCTGAAAATAATAAAAATTTGACGTGGGATGACGGAAAGTCACCCGAAAACCAATATGATTAAATTATTCAATAAGTGATTCCGAGAATTTCCGTTCTATTTCTATGGAATAAATACTGAGAGTGATATACTAAAATCGCTATAACTCCCAGGAGGGCAGGTATGGGCAGCTGATTTTTTCACAGTTCGTTGAAAACAAATTATGTAACATTTCTGTAGTGGTTTGGAACTGGGACTCTCTGGGACTTTTTAGATATTGCTTACCTAACCCAAATTTAAAGGAAAAATGGACCTTTAGTCGGGTTTTCGCTCTAAAAAAGGTGCATATGAAAATGTCTCAAACAACATTCCTTTTTTTTACAGAAGATACTTGTCCGAAGGCAGATTTTTTATCCGAATCAAAATATCTGTCACCAAAATCAAATGAGATCATTTTGAATACAGCCCTGAAATCCCCTCTTTTCGTGAAAATTTTGTATATTTGACTTCTAAAATCAATTAAAAATCAACGGGCCAACATAAAAATAAGCTTTATGTGTTTTTTGTTTACTTGGAATGTCTGTGACAAAATTGCATCATTAAAAACACTGAAAAAAATAATCGGAAAAAAGTTACTTTTCCACTAGCCGCAACACAGTGCGACGGTGAACAACCCAAAGGTCCTCGGAGTAACTTTCGACAGTCTGCTCTCCTTCTCGGCGCACACAACCGCAATTGTCAACAAAGTACAAAGCCGCAACAAGATGCTCAAGTCGCTAGCCAGCAGCACATGGGGCTGCCTTTTGATGTCGCCGCAACACCACTTACACGACGAGGCCCACATGCTCCCCGTTAAAGAGCATAACTCAATGCTCTGCAAGCATTTTTTAATTGGGAGCCACAGACATGGTCACCCAAACAGACAACTCCCTACAGAAGAGTCCTCGCCCAGGCACGTCGGGAGGCATCTCTACGAACTAACGGACAAAGTCAAGAGGTTCATCAAACAACCTTTGGACCCCACAGCTTGTCGACAGGCCTTGAACGGCATTCACAGAGAGGCAGTTTCGAGTTATGTAGACTCTCGACCTGTGAATGGAATAGCATACAACCCCCAGACGTGGACGAGACAGAACTTCGTCTGCCCCGGGAGACTTGGACCAAAATAGCCCAACTGCGCTCTGGTTACTGCAACCGGTTGAACTCATACCTGCGCAGATTAAACGAGGATTTTCTAAACGAATGCTCGGCATGCGTAGAGTCGCCTCACACATCTCTTCGCATGCCCAATGAATCCCACCCTATTAACGCCCATGTCCCTATGGACAGACCCCGTCGAAGCTGCACGCTTCCTGGGGCTACCGCTAGTAGAGCTTGGCGACATCGATTGAGGGACTAACCGATTTGGGCGAGGTTTTTGTAGCCGCTACAATGATGATACAAACAAACAAAATAAAATTTATGACATTGACAATTATGCTAATGAATTTAAAATTAGACTCCAAACTTCAATAAAAAATGCCAGACATGGTGAAATAAAAATAAGGTGATGTCAGTTAGGGGGTGTTTGTTGTAATTTTGACAAATTCGGTAGCCCCGTTCTGAATGATGCCCTCTTGAACAAAAACTACACTAGAAAAACTCCTTTTAGGCATTGCGCTGAAAACGTAAGAGTGAACATCACTGTCCTTGACATTTCTGTAGTTGTGACTTTTCCATTTAATATTTTTTGCAAAAATTGTGATTTGTGTGTATAATTAACAGCTTATAATTTTGCGATTTTTTTGAGGTTTTCCGGACTTTGGCTACAAATTTAGGTAACAAATTTTAAGTACTTATGCCAAGTGGCAAATAAAGACTTATTATGTTTACCTTCCACAGATTTGTGAATTGTGTTTTTTATCTCAGCGAGAAGCTGCGATATAAGTGCAATTTTTGGCTGCAAGTTCCAGGTGAGTTTATTCAATTGGCCAGGTAGTTAATAAAATGGTCAGTAAAAGTGCGTTTCTTGTTTAATAGGTTTTGGAAGTTGTGCCTGTTCACGTACTAGAGGCTGCAATACAAGTGCTTTACAAATAAAATTACGAAAATCCTTTTATAATTCATAAATAATCGGTCTTTTAAAAAGAAGAAAAAACTAACTAAGAGTAGTTGTGTTTGTTTAAAAAATTATTCAGTAACTCGCCCGCAACTCCCCAGTAACTTAATTTCTGCGAATTCGCTCAAAGGAAAAATATCCAAAAAAGTACGTGAACGCAAATCCAGTAATAATTATCAAGTTTCATGAACAGCTGATAAATTGGTTCTTTATTCGCAGCAAATTCCTAATAAAACAATATATTTTATATTTAAATTGGTTTATTTGGTCAATTTCAATAATAAAAACCCAAAAACAGTTTCCTTATTAGTTTAAATTGCATCCAGCAAGTTACAAGTAAAATTTATCCATTAAAAATGCAGTAAAAACAGCTTTGTGGGTCTTAAGAAGTTTGGATTTCATAACGGCCCAGTAGGTTTCGATCGGCCGATGCTCTGGACAATTAGGTGGATTCACCTCTTTTGCTACAAAATACACTTTGTTTCTATGTTACCATCCTAAAGCCATTTTTCCGTAATGACATATCGCGAGATCAGGCCAAAAAAGCACTGGATCTTTATGAAGCCGTATAAGAGGTAAAAGTCGCTTTTGCAGACACTCCTTAACATAAATTTCTTGGTTAATTGTACCAGTACTTACAAAAGGATCACTTTTGAAGCCGCATTGGCAAATTGCCTGCCAAATGAGAAACTTTTTGGGAAATTTGTCAAACTTTTTGTTTTTATATTTATCTGCAACATGCCTCTTTTATTTGCAGTGTGAAATTCGCGGCCCCGGATTTGTTTAAAATCGGCTTTTACGTACGATTCGTCATCCATAACAATACAGCCAAATTTTTGTATGAGACTGTCGTACAATTTCCGAGCACGTTGTTTCGCCAACAAATTTTGCTTACCGTTGCGATTAGGTGCTGCATTCACTTTGTAAGAACGTAGTCCTGCTGTTTTGCGTACTTTTTGTATATACGAAGACGACATGTTTAATTTTTTGCCGACATCTCTTACCGAAAGTCCAGGATTTTTCTTAAAAGCAGATAACACTTCCTTTGCCTTAATTTCGCAAGCAAATCCTTTTTTTCTGCCACTACCAGGGTTCCTTTTTAAAGATAAACATTCATTGTATTTTTTAAGCACATAAGTAACGGTAGACTTTGGAAATTTTAGCTTTTTTGCGATGTCGTTATGGAACATGCTGGGATTTTCCAGCTTTTTGCGCAATATTAACTCGCGATCGATTTCTTTCTTGGTCCTCGTTTCTACACTGATTTTTGTTACTAAAAAGAAATGATGCAGTAAGGTGGAAAATGCTTCCAGCTTTTTAAGTGTCTACCGATTTTTATTTTAATGTTATGATTAACCGAGCTATGCTTGGTTATGTGCGACCAGTTTTTTTCGTGTACATTCTTTAGAATACGGTTTCAGCGAATGCGCTATAAAGACACAGGTATAAACACTTGCAAGAAATATGTCTTGAGTAAGTCGGTTTCTTGTTAATGCGCTTCTTGCGTAGGTTTAACAAGTTATACATATAATAGTTTATCCAATTACTACATACATGCATACATAGTATAAAGCTTGTAAAAATGGGCTGTAAATAAATTTGTTAGAAAATTCCTCTTTTATTGAGGAGTTGACATGACAGAGGGGGTCATCGAAGGATTGATCCTAGTGCTTAAAAATTACAAACTCATAATTTGAAATGGCAGATTAGCAACTTTTTTTATTCCAAGTAGTTTTAAATTAAAATGATTCATTCTATTACCAAATACTTGACACTCATCTCTTAAAAACTTTATCCTTACTGCTCTCATCTCTGTTGATCATTATGCCAGTCTTTTCAGCAATGGATGAAGAATTTGTCAAATGACTTGCATAATCAGAACTATTAACTTTCTGAACCGTCTCAGCAGCATCATTAGCATCAGTAGCATCATTAACATCATTTGTGTTTTTCAAATGTTTTTCTATTTCAGTACGCACCTTAGCTATATCCTTTTGACTAGATGAAAACAATTGGCAGTTATTCGTAAATAAATATGTGCATTGAGGTTATTTTAATATTTACCTGATTTGAACAAACAATATCCCATTTATAGTGTTCAGCATCTCCAAAACAGAGCCCATGGTTGGCGGCTGTATATGTATTGGTGGCAATCCAGTGCTTAATTTTCCATTTGAATATATGTCGTTCATTTTACGTTGCAAGAGTACAGCCTGTTGTGTAAGTAAGCGCAAGCATTCCGCTGATTCTCGAGTTTTCTCATGAGCTTCTCCCAACTGTAATAAAAAATGTATGCACGTAAGAACATATTTCTTAGTAATATATACATATGTAATACTTCTAAATTGCTAGTACTATGTGTTTTCAACAGGGTTCGGAAATTCTCATTTAAGATTATTCATTTTCATTCATTTGAGATTTACCATGATCGATAATATTCCAAATCTATTTTTGCATTCTTTTATTGCGAGTGAAAAATGCAAACAAAATTTATCATCTCTCACAGGCTAACCTAATATTCGCGGCTTGCGTTTTGGTACGCATGCCGTCGAATTTGTTTTTTTGCGTCACCCGAAATTGACTTGCATGCGATTGCATTTGATTTCATTGAGCGAAACGTCAAATCAAAATGTCACGCAGAACAAAAATTGGAAATTGAGTTAGCTTCATACGCACGCCGTTCAATTTCGGTTGATCTCATACATGTTGCATGTGCATGAGAAATTTTTGACAATAAATTGGCGGCGTGCGTGAATATTAGGTTAGCCTGTCACATTCGGAATGCTGCTTTTCATTCGCGATCGAAAAAAGCAAAGAAATTTCCTCTCACTCGAATATGAGAAGTCCGAGCATTGCCGATGTCGGCCTCTCATACATGAGAAAAACGATGCAACTAATCCATTCGCGATCACTCACAACAGCTAGCTTATCGCGATAAACTTATCGCGAAAAATTTTCAACGACGTTGTATGGGAGATTATTTTCGCGTTTGTTTTTGGTTATGCAATTTGTTATGCATACAGCATACATACATACATATCGTCGTTTAAAGTACAAAACCGCGTATCGTCATTCTGCAAAACCGCGTAACTGACATTGGTTGCCAAAAATTGGATTTGCTCACACGAGCTCTTGGCTCAATCCTTATACATTCTTCCTGAAATATACTAGCCGGAAATGCGATTGCTTTATAAAAAAGAGAACCATTTTGAAATATGAGTGTTTTTACGCTCTAGAAAATAATTTCTACAACTTCACATACGCGGTTTTGCATTTTGCTGATACGCGGTTTTGCATTTTGTTGATACTCGGTTTTGCACTTTAAACGACGATATGTACATATGTATATGTAAGTAATGCAAGCAAATGCTTTTCGGTTGGAAGGAATGTAGGAATATGCACAAATATATGAATTATGACGTGTAGTTAAAGTATATTCCAAGCGTACACTTTTCAATATAATGGTGTATCTGCATGTTATTTTATTATAATTAATGCGTTTATTTATTATATCTAATAATTGGAACTTAGTGGGGATAATATTGACTAATGAAAGCAGAAAAAACTATGTAAATTTTGTATCTATTTAAATGTTTTGATTCGCCATTATAAGAAAATAAAAATATACACCCGTTAATAGAATACGAATATGTTTTTTTTACCAGGAGGAAGCATCGGAAGCCTGTACAAGTCAGTGTGGGAATTCAACCCGAACTAAACCTCCTGCTGTCCAAGTACCGATCCCCCCGGTACCACCGTCAAGTATTCCGTCGGAAGGCGGTTTGAGCACTAAGCTCGCACGTACGATCCAGTGAAATGTACTCAGTCCTGGGCTGTACCTAATAGGTTCTGCCACGTCTTAATGATAGCGAAACTCTTTTATTTTTCTACTATGTATTTATTTAAGTATCTCTACCTGAAGTTAAAACCATATACAAACACGGTACTTATATATTAACTATTTAAGATGATGTTAAGATGATTTTCTTGTAGCGGTCGGGCCAGATTTTGAGCAACCCCGTCGCTGGTAGTTTCGTTGAACAGGCATTCAGAAATTTAACCCATGTACGTTTATGTGTACTGCCTTGGCGGTTGGAACGGCCTAGATTCCAATCCGCGCCTACGCGTTGGTAAATGAACTTCATTGTTGGGGAGGCGGTCTGAGAGCGCCAGTTTCTAAGCCGCATAAGCTTGGCGGTTGGAACGACCTAAGTTCCAATCCGCCCCTACGATTTGGACGAATAGGTTTCAAGGCCGGTTGGAACGGCCTAGGTTCCAATCCGCGCCGACGCTCTGTTGGGGAGACGGTTTAAAAGCATAGTTTCTAAGCCGCCTGCCTTGGCGGTTGGAACGCGCTAGGTTCCAATCCGCTCGTGCTCTTCGGGTTCGCGACTTTCGGAGCCGCATTGCCTTGGCGGTTGGAATGGCCTAGGTTCCAATCCGCGCTTTTGCATTACATACCTATTGCACGTCTTTGCCGCTCTAGACATCTCAAACATTTCATAATTGACGCTATTTCACTGCTGGCTAAACTCCATTCCTCTCTACCTCTCAGCATATAATTTACTACAGCTTCTGGAGACAGTGCTGCGTTGATATACTGTTGGGAGTCTACGTCTCTGTTCGCTGAATCGTGGGCACAGTAGAAGTATGTGCCCCGGGTCTTTGATGGTGCCTTTTCCGCAGAAGTCACAGTACGGATCACTATCGTGTTTGTATTTGTAAAGGTACGCCTTGAAACAGGCATGACCGCTTAAAAATTTAGTTAGATAGAACTCTACTTTTCCATGAGACCTCTTTGTCCATGGTTCAATATCCGGAATACAGCGATGCGTCCATCGCCCCTTAGTTGAGCTGTTCCATTTGCGCTGCCATTCTAACAGGCTGTTTTGCCGTGCATGGGTTCTCTGGAGCTCGTCTCTTTGGCTTGAAAGTAACATGACCGATTCTTTGGCCAAGATGTCAATTGGAAGCAGACCGGATATCACGAACGCCGCGTCGTCTGAAACCGTTTTAAACGCGCTGCAAACACGTATTGCACATAAACGATAGGTCGCATTTAGACCACGGTAATATTAACAGTGGAGCACCGCTTGATGCCATACAGGAGCACCATACATAATCTGACTTTTTACGACTCCTGCCAGAAGCTTCCTACTGCGTTGTTTAGGGCCTCGGGAATTTATCATTATTCGTGATAGTGCTGACACTGTCACAGCCGCTTTTTTTTTTGTATATATTCTAAGTGCGCTTTGACGGTCAACCTCTTATCGATCAGGATTCCCAAATACTTTATCGCTGGTTTTGTTGAAACGTTACGTCTTCTGTTTTTTTATATATATGTATATAGTACATATATAAAGCTCGAAAATTAATAATCAAAATTATTGTACAGTGCACGTGGAATTATACCAAAGGTGCAAAAAAGTGCGCGAATACTCCATCGCTGGTGACTTGGTACCTAGCGAAGGTTCCCCACCGAAAGTGGAAGTTTTTTATCGTGTCTTATTTGTGAAAGTCCAAACAAAATCTCTGGCTATTACTATAAAAGCAAAGAGCGAGAGAGAGTGAAAAGTGCGCGAAACTTTTGTTGTACCCTCAAACAGAGGAGCAAATAAATAAGCGTCAACAGCAAGTGTATACAAATTTGTCAAAACGCAGAAAAAAGTACTGCCAAGTGAAAAACCGAGGTTTCACACCTCCTGCATGGACACTAACTCACCACGGTATGGTGGAGTATATGGTGAAACCCAGTTTAAAGCGGTCGAGGAACATACGAGCACTAGCAAACAAAATATGAGTGAAAGTATGAATTCCCTGTCTGCATACCCTTTTCGTAGGTGTCCAAAAATACCGCGATCACCTGATCGCACCCCTTCACCTGCATTTCAAGCGGCGTAGCAATCTACTGACAATGCCGCTGCCACCCAACTGTATAGGGGGCTAAATGAGAACGTTGTCGATCCGTCAGCAGTTGGGAGTGAGATAGGGAGTGAAGCTTGCTCTCAATCAAATCAAGTGAGTGAGCGACCTGTAGCGATAAGAGATATGGAGGTCGTAAACAAACTGCGAGACACACACACTATTAGTATGGTGAGAGCAAAGATTGAGGAGGTGAGTAGGTTGATGAACGGGCAACGTCACGTAAATCAACAAATGAAGAATGTGTTAGCTAGCGCTGCTAAACTATGCAAAAGCATTGAGAATGATACAAAAACAATTAGCAAGGGAAATACGGAGTCGAAAAGCACTCAAACTGGCCCAACAATTGTAGCCAAAAACCAAACAAAGCGTAGCAGAGCTTCAACAGAAGGCGGTCTTATAACCGAAAATCAGGCCCAACCAATAAGGAAACGGTCGCGTCTTTCTTCCCCTCGCGCTGACGAAACCGGTCAGTCACGCACAAACCCTACTGGTCGGGATGAGGCCATTGAAATTCCGAGTGGTCGTCCTGAGGATGGCGGGCAAAATATCCCAGCGGACAAAGAGGGTTGGACCAAGGTGGAGAAAAAGCAAAAGCGAAATCCAATTCATATGCAGACATTTTAAAAATGGTTAAAAGTCAGGACAGCCTCAAGGACTTTAGTGAATCAGTTCGTAAAATACGGAAAACAGCAAATGGGGAACTGCTGTTTCAACTCGGAAAAACATCGGACCAAAATACCACAAAACTAAAAACTGCAGTAGGCCAACTACTATCTGGAAATGCTGAGATGAAAGCGCTAACAGAGCAAACGTTGGTGGAAATTCACGATATTGATGAGATCACATCCGGGGAAGAAGTAGTGGAAGCCCTCAATTCCTTACAAAGTGACATGCATTTTAAGAACTCAGACATCCGCTCATTGAGAAAAGCCTATGGTGGTACACAAACTGCTTCACTCTTGTTGTCCACTGACACAGCCAGGGCTCTAATTGAAAAACAAAAAGTCCGGATCGGGTGGGTGATATGCCGTATTCGTGAAAAAATTCAGATCAGACGTTGCTACAAATGCTTAAACGTGGGCCACATAGCGAACAACTGTTCGAGTACAGAGAATCGAAGAGGTGCCTGCTTTAAATGCGGTGAGGAAGGGCACACAGCCAAAACATGCAAAAACCCAGCGAAGTGCGTCTTATGTGCAAATAAAGACCTAAGCCGAGCAAATCACCACACCGGAGGCGTAAAATATCCTTTTTATCAGGAGGCTGTCCGTAAACTACAAAGACCATGAGAGTACTCCAATTGAATCTGAACCATTGTCAGTCCGCTCAAGACCTACTAGCGCAAACAGTA